AAGTTTTCTGTCAGCAGTTCCTCAATGATCCGCTCTGTGTTTTCTGTTTTCTCCCCATTCTGGAATTCCAATCACTCGCAGATTTTTGCTTTTGATTGCGTCCCACATAACTCTCAGGGTCTCTTCCTTTTCCTTTGTTCTTTTTTCTGAGTTTTCCTGGAACAGAGTTGTATCCAAGTGTTTGTCTTCAATTCCACTGATGCTGTCTTCCACTGTTTCAAATCTGCTTCTCAGCCTTCTATGACATCGTCCATTTCTGAAATCTTGTTGTTTATCTTTTGGATTTCTAATCGTTGTCTTTGTATAATTTCTAGTTATGAATTTATTTTGGCATTTTGTTCCTGCATTATTTTCCTGATTTCTTCCAATTTTTTGTCCACATTTTCCATGAATTTGTCTATTCTTTCCTCATGTTTGTCAGCTTTTTGCCTCAGTTCTTGGAGAATTCTGAGTATTAGAGATTTGAATTCTGTATCAGGTAGTTCTAGTGCATTTTCTTCCAGAGGAGAGTCATCTGGTGTTTTATTTTGGACGCCTACTGGAACCATCCTGTCCTGTTTTTGTAAATGTTTTGTTATTGTCTGCTGTCTTCAGGGCATTCAGTAGTTATTTTTCTCATTTACTGATTGTAGATTTGTTTGTTTCGTCCCTTTTTTTAAAAAAAATTCGACTATGTCTGAGCAGGCAGACTGTGTGTTCTTTGGTGTTTGCTCGTCTGTGAGCACAATACTTTTTGCCTCCTTCTTCAACTGGCAGGGTCAGTCACTCAGACATGGTACGGCAGGGCAGATCTAGCTAAAGAGGAGTTACTGGGACGGGTTGTTTGGGGCACTTACTACAGCCACCAGAGAGGGTTGGTAATCAGTGCAGGACAGGTTGCAGTAGGCCGTGCCTGTGCTGCTTGGTGGTGTGATGTCAAGCGCATGGTGCAGGTAGGCAGGATGCAGCAGGGAGATTGTTATTTGTGGAGCTAAGATGGATATGGGAGACAGGAGAGAGGAACAGGACCCAAAAACATACAAACAAAAAAGAATGCTAGTGGAGCTTGCCGCTGAAGTGGAGAGATGAGAGACTATGAAATGGAGAAAAACAGAAAGGGGAGGAGGAAGAAAAGAAAAGAATGAATAAATTAGAATCACAAAGGTTAAAGAACCGCAAAGTTCCCAGGGATCCCACCGATGCAGCTATGAGGTCTGGGGAAGTCGCTCTCAGGTGTTGCAGTACAGCCTGGCTAGAAAGCGTAGTAGAGGTATACAACACCAGGTATTCAGGGAACAGAAAGAGAAGGAAGATATAGAGAGACGAGAAACTGAGCAATGAAGAAAGACAAAAAGGGAAAAACAGGAAAATGAAAACAAAATAAATTAAAAAAAAAAACCCAACAAGAAAGGCCCCCAAAGAAACAGAAGAAAAAAAAACCAACATAAAAAGAAATGCTCTCAGGGATCCCTCTGCACGTCTGTGGAAGCTGAAGGGGAGTCTCTCTGCCATGCAGCTCAGCCTGGCCAGAAAGGGTTCCCAACTCAAGAAAAGGAAAAGAAAACAAACAAACAATTCAAAACAAACGAACAAAAGCCCCGGGATCCCACCAGCGCGGCACCCCAAACCAGGAAGCAGTTTCACACTCGAACGGAGCTCCGCAGCCCCTCAGGAAGAAGCAAAGATGGCGCATGGAGCCAGGTACTTGAGCGAAGGGAGGGGGAGGTGGCGAGAGGCAAGTAAGAAATCAAAAGAAGCAGGAAAAAAGAAAGCAACACTAGCAGCCAACAAATGGCACTCAGAGAGCTAGCTAGTGCGGGCTGGTGTTTCTGGACAAGAGACTCTGTCCGTGGGAAGCAGAGGGGGCCGAGTGTGGGTGAAGAAGGGTAGAGAGTGGGAAAGCGTATATCACAAATTACCGGAGCTCTGCAGACCCTCAGGAAGAAGCAAAGATGGCGCACGGAGCGAGGTACTTGAGTGAAAGGAGGGGGAGATGGGGAGAGGCAAGGAAGAAATAAAAAGAAGCGGAAAAAAAGCAATACCAGCAGCCAACAAATGGCACTCAGACAGCCACCCGTTCGGATGTGTGGAATCCAAGCAGCCGCTGTTTCCTGGTCCAGAGACTGTGGCCGTGGGAAGCAGAGGAGGCCGAGTCGGGGTGAAGAAGGGTGGGGGGTGGGAAAGCGTATATCGCCAATTACCGGTTGTTCTGTCTCCCGCTGGAAGCTCCAAGAGGCTGCTTTCTCGTACCCCATTTGCTGGTATCTGAAAGGAGTCCAAGATGGCGGATCCGCGCTGTGTTAGCTGGTAGGGGACCTTTGCATGAATCTCTCCTTGCTCTCCGTTCTCTTGTCAGTTTTCTCACTCCATTGAGTGCTTGGCTGAGTTCTTTATCTCTTCATTTGATGTTTTAGGGTTTCAGGATTGTTGTATTCTCTGTTTGGCTTAGTTTTTCGGATCTTTGCTGTGGAGGGACGGCGTGGTGCTTCTGCCTAGAGCGCCATTTTTCTCAGTTTCTTAAAATATGAAATATGCAACTACCACACATCCTACCAATTGCACTCTTGGGTATTTATCCCAGAGAAATGAAGATTTATGTTCACGTCAAGCTTGTACATGAATATTCACAGCAGCTTCATTTGTCTAACAGGCCAAAGCTGGGAACGAGATAATGTCCTTCAACGGGTGAATGGTTACACTATTGTACATTCATATCATGGAATACTATCATCACCACTACTACTAAAAAAGAACAAACTATTGATACATGCAACAAACGCAGTGAGTTTTCAGAGAATTCTGTTGTGTGAACAAAGGCAAACCCAAAAGGTTACATATTGTATGATTCCATTTATGTAACATTCTTGAAATGACAAAATTATACAGATGGAGAAATGATTAATAGTTGTAAAGGGCTAAAGGCTAAAGAGGGTGTGGAGGGAAGGAAGTGTGTGGTTATAAAAGGGCAACATGACAGATCCTTGTGGTGACGGTAATGTTCTGTGTCTTGACTGTATCAATGTCAATATCCTGTTTGTGATATTATACTACAGTTTTGTAAGATGTTACCATTGGGGGAAAGGAAGTAAAAAGTACTTGGGATCTCTCTTTTTCTTATAACTTATAAATGCATATCAATTATTTCTGAGAACTGTGTATGAGTCTACATTTACGTCAGAATAAAAAATCAAATACAGAAAACCCCAACAACACTGTGATGGTTGATGTGATGTGTCAGCTTGGCTAGGTTATGATTCTCAGTGGTTTGGCAGATACTACATAACCATCCTCCATTTTCTGATCTGATGTGAGCAGCCAACCAGCTGGAAATGAAGTTTTCTTGGTGGTGTGGCCTGCACCCAATACATATAGATGTTCTGGCGAATCTCTCTCTCTCTCTCTCTCAATCCTTCATTTGTCTTGCTGTCTTCATCTGACCTCTGGCTCTTGTGACTTACGAACATCAGCCTGCCATCTGACACATGGATTTCGGACCTGCCAGCCTCTACAACTGTGTGAGCCATCTCCTTGAAACAAATTTCTCTCTGAATATTTATATATATGCTTCACTGGTTTTGCTCCTCTAGAGAACCCAGCCTAAAACAAACACCATGCCAAATAAACCAACAAAACAAAAATTTGTGGGATGAAGTCATAGCAGGGCTTAAAAGAAAATGTATAGCTTTAAATGCCTATATTAGAAAAAAAGAAAGTGATCTAGATTACATCTTAAGAAGCTAAAAAAAGAGCAAAACAAACCCAAAGTTGGTAGAAGGGAGGGAAAAAAAAAGAGCAGAAATTAATGAAATAGGAAACAGACAACAAAGAAAGTCAATAAAGTAAAAGTTGGTTCTTTGAAAAGATGAACTCAGTTAATAATCCCTAACTAGACCGCTCAGGAAAATGAAAGACAGAGGACTACCAATGTCAGAAACGAAATTAAAGATGTAACTACAGATCTTACAGACATTAAGACAATAAAGGAATATTATGAATATCATGTTAATAAATTTGACAATTTATATGAAAAAGAAAATTCCTTCATAAATATAACTTATCTAAACTGACACAAGATGAAATAGAAAATATGCAGAGTACTATAACTATTGAAGCGTTTGAACTCATTATCAAAAAATTTCCCACAAAGAAAACCCTAAGCAAGAATGGTTTCACCAATGAATTCTATCAAACATTTGAGGAAGAAGTAATACATATATTATACAAGGTCTTTCAGGAAACAGAGGAGGAGGAAACACTTCCCAACTCATTGATATGGTCAGTGTAATTTCTGAAAGCAAAACAACAAACTTAAAAGGAAAGAAAAGTTTGGATCAACTTTCCTTGTGAACAAAGAAGCAAATGTACCTAATAAACATTAACAAATTGAATCCAGCAATTTATAAAAAAGAAAATATATTCTGACCATGTAGGGTTTATCACAAGATTGCAAAGTTGGTTTAACATTTGACATCCAACGATGTAATTCATATTATCATCAGAATAAAGTAGGAAAAACAAACATGCTCATTTCAGTAGATGCAATGCTAATTCTGCTGAGCTAATACTCACTTTAAGTTTTCTAATTCCTGTTTTCTCAATGGAGAAGAAGGTGGAGCTGGAATAAATTTGTCTCCATCATGGCTTTTACTGCTGAAATAAACAGACTCTTAGTTATGAACAGAAACAAATAAGCAATTAAATGGAAAATTTTGCTTCCCTATCCCCACTCCCATACAAGTTTTTATAACAAAAGCATAGACGAGACAAAATAATGAAAATGTCTAGTAACTTGGTATTATTAACATGTTAAAGTTATACTGTTTATTAGCTTCTTTTACCCCATATGCAAAACTGTTTCTAGAAGTCTATAACTGAAAACAGTAACTCTATTACCTAAATGAAACCACTCCGCATTTTCACACATTTCTCATTCTTATTTTATCATCTACAGTAAAACATTAACTTCTTGATGGAGGAAAAAGGTCACAATTTTTTTCCAAATTTTCTATAATAAACATGTATTTCTGTTGTAATCAAGAAAAAAACGATGGTATTGAAGACTGAAATTAAAGGTACCGTGTGAAACGCAGAACTTCTGATATATAACGGTGTTTGTTTTGTTTTTACCAAACTCTCCCGATTTCTATAGAATGGCATCATTTTAAAATTACCCTAGAAAATCACATATATTCTAGAGGTTAGTGGTGTACAGTATGCTAAGAGAAAAGGCAACCGATAATAAGAAATGAGAAGTTTCAAGACTTAAGTATTTATTTCAATTAAAAAAAAAAAAAAACTGCCTTCTTTGATGGCAACAGGAAAAATCAGTTGCTGTTGAACGGACTCTACAGGTGTCAGAGCAGAACTGTGCTCCATAGGGGTTTCAACGGCTGACTTTTCAGAAATGGATTACCAGGCCTTTCTTCCAAGGTGCCTTTGGGTAAACCTGAACCTCCAACCAGCCAGGGACTCCAATAACAGGACTCCTTGCAAATAAATACCACTTCTGACAATCAAAAGTGTTATTTTCCTCACCTAGCCTTCACCTTGTCTCTTCCTGAAATACTTAAACATTGTCATCAAAGCAGACAACTGTGGAAATTCTGGCTGAAGGTTTTAGAAATCACTAAAGAGGTTTGCTAGTCAATTCCTGAAAAGGTTTTGCCAAGGAGGTCACGGGGATTAGGATACCTGCAAGTTTCACTGCTTTCACTGCTCTCCGTGTTCCCACCTAATTGACTGCTGTTTTTAGACCCGTTCTCCTGCTTCGGATCTTGCTGTTCTTCAGGTAACAGCAACAAGGCATTTCTGAGACAAATGGCTGCAAACTCCATGCTGGCTACAGGAATGGCTGAAGACTGCCCATCACTTAAAAGAATAAAACCAAATTAGCTAAGGATATTACATAACGAGAAGACTTTTCCATTATCAACGTAACTGTAAATGAAAACTGCCCTTCGACAGGTAGAAATTTTAATACAACAGTTGTAAGAGACTGCTAAAGAAACCAAATCCTAAGTATAACATACAGGCTATGAAAAGCATTAATAATGGATTGTAAATATATACCTTATACACTGTATACTGCGTCTCTAGGAAGGGGACCCAGGGTGGGAGACAACTCGAAGTACACATGCAATGTCAATGGTAATGTAAAAAGGAACTGCAGACAGGGAAACTATACTGAGGGCCAGGACAGGTACGGTAAGAACGAGAAGGAAGGGGAAATAATACACCTTCACATTTGAGACTTACTTTGGTTGATTCTTGCTTTCAAAAAATGCCTTTGTGAGTTTTCTAACAGAGGCATTATCTTTTATCTTATTATTTCATTGACATTTTATATTATTTTCTATTGGTTTGATATACCAAATTGAGTTAGCTTTATTAGGAAAAAAGTTTTTTTTTTTTGAAAAGTAGTAACAACTTTGAAATTGTAGGAAAATGATGCCTGATTACAATAGTCTTTAAAAAAAAAATTAAGACCAAAATGCCCCCAGACATCCTTTTAACTCAGTACTGAAGTCACTCCTGAGGTTCACCCTTCAGCCAAAGATTGGACAGGCCCATAAAATGAGACTAAATGGGCACACAAGCTCAGGGACACAGATGAGAAGGCAGGAGGGGGCAGGACAGCTGAAAAGGGGGCAGGAACCCAAGGTTGAGAAGGGGAGAGTGTTGACACATTGTGGGGTTGGCAACCAATGTCAAAAAACAATGTGTGTAGTAATTGTTGAATGAGAAACTAATTTGCTCTGTAAACCTTCATGTAAAGCACAATAAAATACATAAAGAAAAAATAAAGACCAAAATGTTGTGTGTCAGATTCTATTTAAACTTTGGAGAAACTCTTAAATGAGTGACCAATTTTCTTCCTGAAAAAGTTAAAAAAAAAAAAAAAAAAAAAAAAGGGAAGCTAATTCCTCGCAAAATCTCCTACTTGAGAAATAATAGTAACTCAAATTGGAATCTTTATACAAGATAAAGATGTTCACATTTAAGTTGTTCAGCTGAAGGTTCTACATGTGACAATTTCTATATTACACCGGTTGCTTTATATATTAGTACTTTCCCCCTCTCAATACTAGGAATTAGCTTGAACACATTTTCATTCCTAGGGACTATGAGAAAATATCTAAATGAAAAGCAATAATGATAACCGAAAGTATATAAAAAAGAAACACCAAGATGCCCTCTTCTGGACATTTTGAATAATGGCAACGAGCAGACTAAATCATGTTTCTCAGGGCCATCAGCAATTTCAGCACCCAGGCACGTAATAAACCAAAGTTACACACCAGGTAACATTGTGTGGGGTCTATTAGCTGAAGTAGCAATAATACCTAGTTATAAAGTAGTTCCTCCTATGAGGTGACATATCCCGAGTATACTTTAAGAAACATTATGTGAAACAGTGTTACATACATACACAATTTACAATTTCTCTTTGTAAAATACTTACTTATATACAGTGTTCTGTATGGACTGTGATGCCAGGACTATTTTACGATGATAGCCTTGACCAACGATAGACTGTACAATTCCTTTTTTGCTTGGAAGACCTTTCGTTTCTTGTTCAGAAGTCTATAAATTACAAATAATTTCCAATAAATTTGAGGGAATTGTAAGATTGGGTATGAAAAATGATCGAAAGCTTTCCACACTTATTCTAAATGTTAACGAAGTTCTTAAGATCCATCAACATGGAGTTTCTGGTGACAAAGAAGTGTGTTTGGTGTCAGAGGAAAGCACACGCGAGGTGGAGAGCATGGGGTATGTTATACTTTATTACAATGAAATTTCACATAATTCTCGGGAAAAAAGCAATTCGAGGGTGACTCAAACATTTATTTAGCACGTTCCACATCCTGGGCGCCACGCTCTATATTACAGGCACTTTGATATCAGAGTAAGGGAAACAAGAGAGCCACAAACACACAGTATAAAAGAAAAGGGAAGTAGCTTCACTTCCTAAAACACAGATCGTTTCCTTCATAATTGAAAGTGTTAATTAAATTATGAACAACATGCAAACTTTAACAAGCTATGTATGTTAAGAATTACATGGACACAATCCTTGCCAATCATTAAACTGAAAATAGTAGAAGCTACATACACACACACACATATATACATATACATACACACAGAAATAGCAGAAACTACTTACATACATATGTATATATATATGATATATATATATTTCATGTATATATATATATGACATTTCACTAAGATAGATTATCTCACTGCAGAAGCTTGATGATGACCTAAGTCTCTGATTTATCTGCTGGTGGAAGAATTCCAACTAGTCATCTTATAAAGACGTCCATGTACGGGAACAAGCCAGAGACAATCAATCTGCCCTGTGGAGCTGAATCTGCCCTGCAGTAAGTCCTTCCCTAAACACAAATGTCTCTGTACTACTACTTACTGCCCCCTAATGTATCTCACTGGAGCCCTGGCGGCGCAGTGGTAAAGAGCACGGCTGCTAACCAAAAGGTCGGCACTTTGAAACCACCAGCTGCTCTGGGGAAACCCTATGGGGCAGTTCTACTCTGTCCTACAGGGTCGCTATGAGTGGGAATCGACTCCTTGGCAATGGGTTTGGTTTCTGATTTTTCTTATACTTGTGGATGTAACCTCATTTGGAAACAGGAGTTTGTTATGTTAATGGGGCCATATCAGTGTAGGGCATGTTTTAAGCCAATCACCTTTGAGATATAAAGGGAGCAGATTAGGCACAGAGAAGCAAGCAGAGATGGCGGAAGACAGAAACCAGGTCACATGAAGATGGCCAAGGAACTAAGGGATAGAATCGGAAAACAGACAAGGACCTTCCCCCAGAGCCAACAGAGAAAGCCTTCCTCTGGAGCTGGCACCCTGAATTCAGGCTTCTAGCCCCGTAAACTGTTAGAAAATAGATTTCTGTTTGTTAAAGCCATCCACTTGTGGTATTTGTTACAGCAGCACTAAATAACTAAAATACCTTAGTATTATCAATTCAATAATTAAGTTGGTTATTTTTATTCAAGATGAATTTATTTCTGATGTACAAACTTCTTTGTTCAGTATCCCTTTGGTCCCGACTACAGAAATTTTATTTGAAGTTTACAATTTCTCCTACTGGGATTTTGCTCTCTAATTTTATCTGAGAGGGTTTCTGGGTTGTTTTTACTGTCTTTTAGGCCACCTCAAATCCTTTTTATGAGAAAAAGCACAAACACAGATAATTATTTATGGCAAGTCTTCTATTAACAGCACAGATGGTATGTGCTCTGGCAACAAAAAGTCATTTTTACCCTTTTTGCAAATTTACAAATTAAGACCTTTCTAGAAGAAAAATGGGAGAAACCCTTCTAAGTCCAATAAAATCCTCAGAACACAATCCTAGACGTAATATTTCTAAAAATAAGTACTTTTAAAAGACTATATTAAATCTTACTATATATTTCTCTACTCCCAGGAAAAAGTAACTCTCAGGTTTCCAATAACTGTATAAAATAAAGGCCCCCAACACTTAAGTTCACAAATAGATTAAAGACAATAAGCAATTTCTTTTAAAGTACAATTCTGCCTAAAATTGCTGATTATCAGTTAATTTAAAAATTATTCAGTAAGAAATCTATCTTTCAGAAAGCAAAGTACGATTAGGTAAGTCGTTCAAGACTTCTGAAGACGTCACTCATCTCTGCCCCCTAGTGGTGGACTCAGATGACTAAACCACAGAAGTACAAGGTGTGAGAAGTGCCAGGCGGCTGTGCTTCTTTAATCCCCTTAGTGCGTGTACACTGAAAGAGCTGGAACCCAACGGGACCGCCTCGTTTCTCTGGGTCTCGAAAGTTTGCCGCCTTTGACAGGGAAAGTCTTATCACATTTCTATCACTATTAGTAGAAAATACAGTAAAACCTGAGAAAGTCGGAACCTGTGTAAGGCAGAAACCCGTCAGGAAAGGAAAACTCAACATGTCCCACGAACAGAGCGACAGAAAAGTGGTAAGACCGCACCCTGTCACAGGCGGGAACTCTGCGAGACCTGGAAGAACAAGGCAGTCCCAGTGAGTTCCGGCTCTCACAGGTTGGCCACACTCGCCTTCCTTCTCCGACAGGTCCCGGCCTCTGGCGTTTGGAGCACTTGCTGCAGGCTTTGCTGCAGCCGCTTCTCAGGAAGTGCCGTTCAGCAGCAGCTTCCATCCCCTACAGCAGCACACCAGGCAAACCCGCAGGGTACCGTACCTCCCCCTCCTCACACACCAGACAGTACAACAGAGGGTGGGCGGGTAGCAAACGGGGTCAGAGGGACAGCTGGTCATTTTGATACCTGTCCCTCCCACTGACCCCTCCACCTGAGATGCAAAAGGCACCCACCAACTGCCATTTGGAGATAATCTAGGCACAGAACCAATGTCAACTGGCCCATTTCCCACAGCCACTGCGGAGAGATGCGTGTCAGAGACACAGCCTGGTAACCACAGACTCTAAATCAGTTACTGATACAACAGTAAAGGCCCCGGCATGGAGGCAATTCAGTTCAATGCCGCCGGTTCCCTTCTTGCCATGTTACCATCAGTCCTCCTCTAACCGTCTGGTGCACACGCCATTCACACACCAGCACGTGGCGCGGCCCCTGCCCCAGCAGCCAGCAGCCCACTGCTCCAAAAGATCTGACCTTCTCCTCGGCTTCAACTCTTCAATGCAACTGCTGACACATGGTGCCATACTTACCAAGAACCTGGATGCCAACAAATGACTTTATGAAGCCAAACTTTTCGTCCAAACGTTAAAAAACAGAAGACTATAAACTCACGACGGGCTACAAAGGGAATGACGTTCTCCATATTCCCAGGGATTTTTTTTTGCTTTTCACGTAACAAGCGGAGAGGGGTGGGGTTCAAAAAGATATTTACGTGGCACTCACCCCCTTATTGGCAGCAATACAGCACTCAGCCAGTCGCAGCCACAGGCGGGGATTTGCATGGTAAACCTGAACCGCTTCGATCAGACACTCGAAGGCAGCGAGGGGTCGTCCAATGTGAAGAAGCTGAATCCCACAGTTATACAACAGCTCATACCTCTTGTTGGTTAGCAACGTACACATGGGTCTTCCTGAAAATTTTTTGCCTAGTAATAAAAATTATATGAGAATATGTCCTTAGATTTAAAATAAGCTACAAAGAAACACTTATTCCACTAAGTCCTTAGAGGTTACCTTGTCCTCTACCAATAACCCTGATTTAAAATGGTAACAGCTCTCACCCTTGGTTTCCATCCCTGATCCCACAAACTGTCTCCTGAGCAGAGTCCTCTGTGTTGGCACAGAGATGCCTCTCCTTTCTTGCCAGCTCCTCAGGTAACAATGCTCCAGAGAAGCGAAGATGAGAGCTGGGACCCGCTCTCACGCCTAGCCCCACCTTTTCCATGTTTGTAGAGGCTGTAGGAACATTCTACTGTCCTACAGGATCGCTATGAGTCGGAACTGACCCGACAGCAACAGGTTTCAATGGGTTTAGGAATGTTCTACTTTTTTTTTTTTTTAAAACTTTCAGCTTGGTAATGTTAGGGGACTTTACTACAGACATAAAGAATCATGTACCACATCTAGAACGACTATGGCTCACTCATGCAAACGTTTCACAGTCCTTAAGAAAACAAAGGTGCTTGTGATTCTGGGTATATTTTTCATCAATAGTTTTTTAATTTTAAATAACTAAATAATTGTTTGATTTTAAGTATCCCAGACCAGGAATCCATACAAAACTAATATTAAAGGACCAAACTTCAGGAATTTGCTTAAAGACTGCCAGGGTTCCCAAAAGCTATCAAATGTGGAACCCTGAAAAGGAGCTATGATAAAAACTAGCTTGGCACACTTGAGAAATCTTAGTTTTGCCTTACACCTTGCTACTCAAAGTAGCAATATCTACTAGAAATCCCTAGAGCCAAACTTGCTGGCCAGGAGCAGCGTGAACTGCACGTAGGTACACACAGCATGCATTCTGACCAGACGCTTGCTCTTCAGAATCCTGTGTTCGGCAGGTAGGAAACACACACCGTCCCCAGCGCGGCACTTACCTGGATCCGTGCTGCCCGCGCTGAGCTGCGCACAGACGTTGTCATTCTCCTGCAGAGCTTTTTTAAAGTAGAAAATCCCCAAGTTGTGCTTGCTCATGGCAAAATGGATGCAACCAAGATTGTTCCAGAACATGCATCTTAAACATTCACCTGAGAAAAACAAACACATTTGTCCACAGAAAAATATTACCGTTAACATACCTCACACAACAATCATGCTTAGTCAGCACGGTTTAAGTCTATTTACAATCCTACTTAGTCCCTATAGGACAGCTCACGACATCTGTGAAATTTAGGAAAAACTGAAAGTTCTGTAAAATCCCTTTCTTTTAAAATCAGCTTTATATCCATATATATGTCAAAGCCCACAGGGGTCACAGTTACAGAGGCTTCCTAGACATACCTAAACAACTCAAGGGATCGGTTTATTGGATTAAATGCTTAGGACTATAGTCTCAGAGGACAATTTAGTCAACTGGCATAACATGGTTCTTAAAGATAATGTTCTATGTCCCAGTTTGGTGAGTAGCATCTGGGGTCTTAAAATCTTGCAAACAACCATTGAAGATACAACTACGGTCTCTATTTGTAAGGAGCAAAAGACAATCAAGAAAATCTAAGGCTCAAGGAAGAAACTCGTCCACAGGACTAACGGCCTACACCAAGGCCTCTTCTAACCTGAGACCAGAAGAACTAGATGGTGCCCATCTACCACTACAGACCGTTCTGAGCAGGGACACAAGAGATGGTCCTGGACAGAATAGGAGAAAAATGTAGAACAAAATTCAAATTCCTAAAAAAGGCCAAAACTACTGTACCAATAGAGATTAGAGGAATCCTTGAGACTACTGCCCTAAGATACCCTTTGAACTTGGCACTGAAGCTACTCCCAGAGGTCCAGTAGAGACCAATAGTTGTACCTTAGATTGGTTTATAAAATAAATAATATCTCCTGTGAGTAATGCGCTCCCTTAAACAAACAACTATATGAGACCAAATGGTCAATATTTACCAAAAAGCAAAGATGTTCTAGAAGGCAAGGAAGGGAAGGGAAGCTAGATCAACAGAAACACAAAAAACAGAATGGAAATAATGAGAACGCTGACACATTGTGAAAACTGTAACCAATGTCATAGAACAATCTGTATAAAAATTGTTAAATGGGAACCTTTCACCTAAAACACAATAAAACATTATTTTTAAAAAATTCAGTTTTACCTCAGATCGAAGAACTCCCTTTAATAATTCTTGTAAGGGGAGTTCTTCCATCTGAGGACAAATAGCTTCAGCTCACAGGCAGAACCTAGGACGCAGGATCGTACCAGCCAGATACCAATCTAGGAAATGAACTCT